TCTCTCTCCTCCCTTCCTGCAGTGATCCACTGCAGGCTGCCTTTGCTTCAGTTACTCTGGTCAGTTGGACAAACTCAAGTTATCTGCACTGAATCAAAGAATTCCTGCCCTTCTGCTCCAAGCAGGTGTCTGTATTAGTTAACTGGTGGTATTTTGACTATTACTTACATTAAGCAATGAAGTTGTCCTCTGAAAAACAATATTCAAATGCTACTAAGCTTCAAAACCAAATGCTCAAAAGATGGGAGATTCCAGAACTAAAGATTTTGTGGGAGATTGTAAAATTCTTAACTAAAAATAGTTTTATGTGTTCCTGTTATCACTTTAATCTTTCTATGAAACACAGGTAACAGTTGCAAAGAAATATTGTGAGTCCCCCACACACACTCAGAGCTTTGGGGTCACTGGAGGAAGGTGCACTGAAAGCAACAGTGACTGATTATGTTTGGAGAGGGATGAAAGTTGGAGATTTCTGGTCTGTTTTCTTGAATATCAGAAATTTTTAATACCATTTCTTTCAGGAGACTTCCTGATTTCCTGCTACAGGCCCAGCTTATGCTACAGTGCTGCTCTTAAACTGCTCTTCTCTTTGATGTTTATTCCTTTTTAATACAAGTAAGTTAATAATTGCAGCCTCCCCGAGGCCCAGGAATGCAAAGTGCAATGGATTTGATCTGTCTCATCCTCTAAAAATTGTAGAAGATTCCAGGAACTGTGGTTTTTTAGTGCAGTGGGCATATCTATGTATTACTACTTGAAACTGATAGAAGAATAATGATGTTAATTCTTCTAAAAATGCCTTTGTTTTACAGACAGTGAGGCCAGAGGGAGTTCAATATGTTAAAAACAGAGCCACTGAATGGATTCTACCAATGTTATGAAGAAAAGAGGTACCATAAGAACATTTATTTTCATCTTATTCTGTTGTATTTGTATACTCTACTCTGTTTTACGTGGATTTTATAAAATGATTCTTTATGTGGGTTTTTACCTTTTTGAAAAGCACTAGCAAACTGTCTCTGATTTATTTATACACTGCCCTGATGCTGTCCTTGCACAGGGATGTATCTGCAGAGACTTGGACAGAGTCCTGCCCCAGACAAATCTCTTCTAGATTTACTGCTACATGAATACTCCATCATGGTTATGTGCCAGACAAGATTATATTCCCCTTATGCTGTTATTGTCCTTTCCCTGAGCTGTCCTGGGTGCACTAGAGCTTACTAAGGAGGCAGACACTATAACTTAGTCAAAACAATTTTAGTGATGAATTGCCAGAAAGGCTCCTGTGTGAGAAAGGGTGAAAGCAGTGAAATTTCTCCTGGGCAGTTAAATCTTCCGTTTGCTTCCTGGGGATGCAGGAATGAGTGCCAGGTAAATTCTGCTACAGAACAGAAGAGGGTTATCTTGCAAGAAAGTTGATTTTCATGTTGAAATCTTGTGTAAAGGTCAAGCTGTCTATGGCACAGACCATGCAGAATAGTGTTTAAAATGTACCCCAGTACAGATGAGTTGTACTTCAGACTTATGAGGACTTTATGAATAATGCAAAGGACTTCAGATGGCATGAAACATGCATTTTACTTTCTGCAGGGGGTGAAAGCTCATGGCTGAACAGCCACAGAATGTGAGAATAGCTGCAGATCAGCAATGTCTGTCACAAGAAAAATAAGTGGTCCTGTTTGCTCAGCAGTTGTTTTCAGATGAGCAGGAAAATAAATGAGTCAAGAGTTTCCTGTTTCATGTATTTTCTCTTGTACCCTTAAAAAAATTCACACTGTGCATCCCAAGTGCAAATGCATCTTTCTCAGAGCTCTTTATCGGCATAACAAGTTGATTTGGGCTCCTTGTCCTTATAAAAATACTGAAGTGTAACAAAACTCATTTCAAAACTCCTAACCACCTCCACATATTTTTTTTTCTGCTGTTGCAAATGAAATGGCTTGTGGGAGAAAAATGCCATGGAAAGACTAAAATGCATCCTGCAGTCAGAAAGCCGTCTGTAGTGAGAAAATCCAAAAATATCTGAGGCAGGCACCAAGTACTGAGATGAGCTGAGCTCTGTGAATGTGCCATTGCTTTCTGAAGGCCGTGAGCCTCTCATTTCCTCATGCTTCTGTTTGCTTGCTTTTCTGTCGTGGTAGAGAGGCTGATGCTTGTGGAGTGCCTGCTAACCCACTGTTGCTTACAGGGAGAGAACTGAGAGGCAGCTGCAAAAGACTCGGGTAGGGTTTGAATGCATGCATTGTATAAAGACCAAAAAATCTGGAAGCTTTTTTTGTGGATGAATTACCCAACTTTTTTTTTATTGCCAAAATGAGGCTGGCATTGTAGTGAAGACTTAAAATACTTGAGACCTCATTTGGAGCTAAATCCAGGAAAACGATGTCCTTAGCCTGTGAGCCTTTTTGCTTCCTGATTCAGAATGGAAAAGCAGGCAAGGATCTTTCCTGAACTTCAACACATAATATGGCTAAGTGTTGGTAGAAATTCCAGCTCTCTCACTGTTTTTTGTCCTCTGCTTTTCACACCTGCTTGTTGCAGATTTCATACCCACACCTGTCATGGGGAGTCACTTCACAGTGCAGCATTAAGTCCGACAGTCCATCAGTGGCTACAAATTTCTACTGCTGAGAGAAAGCTACAGGTGCCAATTATATTTCCTTTAGCAGGCATATTTCCTCTGCCAAATTCACTGAGTTTTAATTAGGAACAGGACCCCTTGTGCCTGATGTAGTTCAGCATACAATTCAAGCTTGTTTGCCTTCTCTTTTCTAGCAGAAGGGCAAACACAGCTCTTAGCTTTACAAAGGGAAGGGAGAGAAACTAGGCAGATGAAGGCATTGCTTCTAACTTAGAGTGATAATACATTAAATTATTAAATAGTTGAGCTATGCACAGGAAAAATCTGACACAGATTTCGTGAAGACAGATCATGACAAACCAATCTAATTTCTCTCTTTGTCAAGGTAATTTTGCCTATCAGATAAGTGGGAACAAGTGGCCGTGATTACAGATCGTTATGAAAATGCAGTTAAAGAGAAATTTTCAGTGACTCATTCTCAAGCACATTTTTGGAGACAAGAAGGATGTCTTGAGAAGTGTCTGGTGCATTATCCCAGATAAGTAGTAAGAGCTTGGCTGAAGGACTAAAGAGCACATGAATAAAATTTTTGAATGACTCCACCCTGAGAACAGTTGCAAGACTCTGGGGCTAAAACTACCTTTCAGAATTATCTCAGTGCCCTTGAGAAATGTTCTGAAATTTTAAAAAGTGAAATATAATAAAAATCAAAGTACTATAGTTGAAAAGAAGAAACCAAATCCTCAAGTGTAACTGAAGAAGCTGACTGAATAGTAAAGAAATGCTTCCTAATGTCCAGTCTAAACCTCCCCTGGTGCAGCTTTGAACCATCCCCATATATCCTTTCATTGGATACCAGGGAGAAGAGATCAGAGAATCACAGCATGGTTTGGGTTGGAAGGGACCTTCAGGATCATCTAGTTGCAATCCTGCTGTCATGGGCAGGGATACCTTCCAGTAGACCAGGTTGCTCAGAGCTCCACCCCACCTGGCCTTGGACACTTCCAGGAATGGGGTATCCACACCTTCTCTGGGCAACTGTGCCAGGGTCACCATTCTCTCCACATTCCCCTCCTCTGAAAGCTGGACAGAGCAGAGAGGTCACCCCTCAGCCTCCTTGTCCATGAACTAGACAAGCCCAAAGTCCTTAGGCACTGCTCATGGGACACTCCTTCCACCTGTCTTTGCAGACTTTCTTCAGCTTTGTTGGTCTCTTCTGGATGCTTTTGAGTACCTTAACATCCTTCTTTAATTATGGAGCCCAGAGCCACACTCTGCTTTCACAGTGAGGCTGCTCCAAGGTTCAGTCCAGCAGGATAATCCCCTCTTCTGAGTGGTGATTTATCCGTGTTTGACACACCCCAGGCTGGGGTTTGCCACACACTGCTGTCAGGCACGTGGCTGTGCTGGGGAAGGGTACAAATCTAAGTTTACATGTATGTCTCAGGTTTTCATTTAAGTTTATCAGGAATGTGTAACCATCCTCAGAGTCTTCAGCAGCAAATAATCTAGAAGCTACAAAAAGTATCACTTATAATTCAGATAAGCATCATTCCTCTTAGTGAACCAGTACTGAAGTGATGTTCTTTGCTGGTTAGGATGCTCTTGCTGCTAGTTGCCATCTGCCTTGAGTCCAGGATTTCATGCTTCAGAACTTCTGTCAGTAGCTGAGTTAGCTGAAATTGTCCAGCAAGACTTCAGTGCATGTCCATTTTTTTTGCATACCCAGACAAGCATTTGCTTCTAAACCCATCTGTGCCAACAGCTGTTGTGCTTTACCTCAGAATCAATCCTGCTTTAATGAGCAATAGAGCAATTTATTTGTATAGAAATTCCTGAAGTGTAGTTTAGAATATATTCTGATGTCTTTCAGAGTTAAAGGCACATATTGTGAGTAGGTCTGTCATTAAAAAGAAATTAAATGCATGGTTTGATGTAGATATTAGTGGTGCATTTTCCAAGAGGCATTGCATAGAAATGTTAGATGAATGAGTGTCTTTATCTACAAAACCTTTTTTGTTTTGTTTTAGCACCATTGTGTGTGGGCCTTTATCACATGCAAGGGGAAATCCTCACTTGCCCAGTAGAGGAGCAGCAGCAGAGCTACCCATCCACAAACACCCCCAGAGGAGGCACTTGGTATTCCATAGCTGTGGTAGTGCCCTTTAGGGGTGCTGTTCTTCACCTGATAAAGCTTAGGAATATAATGAAATACTTGGAAAGAATTATCTGTGCCAGTGAAATGGACTGACCTGTGTGGTTTGTTCTGGATTTTTTTGTAGGAAAAAATCTTTCCTTGTTCAGTCTAAATCCTAACTGTTATTGGTATTTTGCAGATACAGAGCTGTATCCCTCACAAAGCCCCCACCAAAAGAAGCTGTTGACAGAGCCAAGTGACTTCAAGAGATTTCCTAAGCCACAAGGATGGACTGTGATTGTAAACCACGAGAACCTGACTCACTCTTCCAGAGTTGTTTCCTGCCTCTTACAACCACTGTCGATAACCAGAGGCCAATCTGAAGCTGTGCCAGGATGTGTTTGTGTATGGTTGCTATATTGAGAAATTGTGTGTTTTGATTTGCACACGTCAGCTACTGCTGTTGGTCATTTTCATGCAAGTTGTTGTCTCTATCCTGTGCAATTCCAGTGAGGTAACACAGTTGTCAAGCAGAGCAGAATTTGCTACACCATGTTTTGACCAAGCTTTATTTTAAGCTTTCCCCGTGTGCCATCTCACCGTGGTGTCTTCATGTCATGAACATGGTTGTCTTTAGCCAAATGTGACTGTTCAGTGCACAAACCAATGTGAACATAGTACCTCAATAAAATCTGGCATTTGTGTTGTATTTTTCTTAATTTATCATTTCCCCCCACCTTTGTTTCCTCAGAAGATTCTTGTGAATCTAAAAATTATTCTGATGGGAGAATTTTCTACCAAATGGCAAAGTTAATAAAGAATGAATTTTGTAGGGAAGTTTAGATTCTAACAGCTATTTCCACTGGTATTGGTATACAGTGAAATGAATTGAAATAAACATCCACAATTGTTTTGCAGATTCTTCATCAAAATATGTTGGAATATTTATTGAGAAGCAAACTAAAATTTTCCAGTAGTATTTCAGTTCGGAGCACTAATTTGTGAAGTGTTGAACTTCCTTCAGGTAATCAAAGAGCTCTAATTGCACATTTTTTTTCCCCAGAAGCCTTAGGAGCAACCAACACAATCTTAACTGTCAGAATTGCATTGTCAATTCTTTCAAGCTTTCAATCTTGAAATCATGAACATTTATGATAATCATTTCTTTTCATCTTGTGAGCGTTCCTTAAGGTGAGTGATCAAAAGAATTTCGAAACTGTTTAACCATGCTGTTGATATTAAGGCAGTAGACAGATTATACCTTCCATTTGCAGATGAGGCCTAAAACATTTACCTACCGTGTCAATTTTGTCTGTAGTTATGCTTCAACTTGTTAAGGCAAAATCTTTGTCTACTGTTTGGGAGTGACATCTTTTTGTGTGATAGTGCTTGAAATTTAAACTCTGTCTGGTACTCTGCGTCAAAACCTCAAAGTACTTCTGATCTCATCTGCTCTTGTGTGAAATTATACACCAGTGCCTCCAATTGAAGTAGAGAATGTGGTGTATGTTCTTCCAATAGCTGTCTGTATATAATATTTCATTAAACTGCTGTTTGCCACTATGGACTTGGAGAAAATTAAAACCACATCGGATGCATAAAGAAAATGTTTTTATAACAATAGGAAATAAACCTGATCTTCTGGCCTCATAACTTTCTTGATTGGGATTGTCAAAGAGCAGAAGGGAAAGGATTTATGAGTTTTGCCATCTGGTTTCCTTGGAGGATGCCAGCCATGAGATAAACGTTCTGGAAGCATATGCTTCATTTTGAACCACCAATAAAAGATTTAGACAAGATGAAAAAAAAGATTTGAGTTATTTTAACTTCATACAAATTTGAATCAGCACTTCTTTAATTTTTAAATTCTAAAGATACCTAAAAGTAACAAGATGTACTCGATATTTTGAATGTTGCAAGATCAAAATGTCTTTGATTTCTGTCTCTTGGGCAATTTCAAAATCTTTGATTCCTCAAATAACAAGGTTATTTTCCCCTTGGATACTGGGCTATTTATTCATTTTGAGACTCTTAAGACACCAAAGTAACAGAATTAAAAGTAAAAACAGAATGCAAAAAGAATGGTTCCAGGTCTTTGCCTGTGTCCAATGTCTGTTTTTGTATTCTGTCACTGTATTTAGGAAAACCCATTCCTTTGCCCTTTTAGCTACTTGTTTTGTAATTGAGGGTTTCTAAATGTCACCAAAAATACACTGGTCTGATTAGGGAATCAGCACACTGTCCAGAACAGCTTTCAAATATAATGTGCAGTCACAACAAGGATGACTCCCTGTGCTTAATAGGCATAATAAGCCTTAATGTACTTGTTAGACATAGCCCTAATTTTTGCCCGGGGAACATTTTAAGCTTAAATTGCTTAAATGACCACATAAAGCAAATTCGAGGCTATTGTGCCATCAGCTGTACAGAAGGTACTAAAACTCACAGGAGTTGCTGTGAGCATTTTTTATTGTTTTTTTCAGAGATGAGCAGGTTTTTTAATCGTAGGGCCAAAATAAAAGTTGTGTGAAATAGGCCTCTGAGACTATGGGATGTAGAAAGTGTGTTTGTGTCTGTGCACACACAGATAGCATCAGGGTAGCACGAGCAGCAGCTCCTGATGGATTTCAGTGGGACCAGGCTGGCTGATTCCCACTGGCAATTCTGGGCCTGGCTGTTCTTCCTTTGCACTCACACTGGCAGAAGTGGCAGCTCAATGCAAAGTGATCTACTTTTGTCATCCCTACCATTCTCTAGATACTGCAATATTAATAACTGCCTGTTCACTTGTGTTACTTAATCTGACTTTGGCTCTAAATAGAAAATACCTAATCAATGGTGCCACACAATCACTCAAGCACGTAATGATTTTCATAATTAATCACTTTTAAGTATAATTTCTGAAGGCTTTATCCTTTGCAGTTTTTAAATTAGGGAAGAAAGACCAAAGAAAAGTCACAGTCTTACTGAATGAAAATAATGCCTGTTTTAATTATTTTCCTAACATTACAAATGCTAGAGACCATCTCAACTGGTACATCCTTCAAGTTTTGGAAAAAATTGAGGCAGTAAAAGCATAAAGATTCAGCTACTTCCTAGGAATAAAAATGAGAAGCTTTAAAGTTCTGTTCTGTTAGCCTGAAGCTCACAGGAATCCTGTCTTTTAATGTGAAGTGAGGAATTAAAAAATTTCTGCCATAGATTTTAAAGTGATCTTTTCATAGTCATTTGTTTGGAAGTTTATGAATTTAAGAAAAAAAGTACTTGTTTTAACAGATACTGAATAGTGTGGTAGAGATCCACTAATATATTAGAAGCAGAGAGAGAAAATTCTACAATGATCTGGCTTTTGGAGAATCAGCTCTGAGCCATGTGAAGGCATATCTGGTTCAAAAAAAGAGATCTCTGCTGCAGAGAGAAATTGAAAAAGTTTAAAACCTCATCTAAACAACCACAATCAGTATCTCTCCAAGTTCCCAACATCATTTATTTCTGGATCTTTGGAACAAGTGCTGGTTTCCAGTGCTCAGTGGGATTATTGCACTTAGCATCCCTTTCCTGTTATTCTGTAGTTCCTGAGTGTGGTACACAGTAGAGAGAAGTGATTTAGGTATGTGTGTAGTGTGTATAAGATATCTTTGTATGGGAAGAACCTACCCAAGCATCTCTAAAATCCCTAAGTCTGACCAATACACTGAAATTTAGGTTTCACGTGTATAATAAACCAGCTACTTGAAAACATCTTTTTAGCTCCATCCATTATTCCTGTGCTTTTTTCAATTCTCATCCTTTAGAAAAACCGTTGAAGAGCCTTGCTTTATATACTGAGAATACATTTTGATGGCAGCAGCAAAACAGAGTGGTGAAATTGATTAATGGAAACAGCCTAAGTTCAAAGAGATGCATATAAGCACCTTTTTTACATCTGATGCTTCAGGATACTAAAGCTGAGCAGCATCTTAAGAAACCACAGCTTCCCTCTCCCATAGGTTGAAAAGAAGCTGGTGACAAGAGGGTACTAAGGACCTTTATTATTTTCTTTCCTCTACCAGCAATGCTGAGCATTTTGCCAGCTGGGTCATGCAGGGTGACCAAGGAGTTTTGAGGGAAAATGGGTTGTTCAGGCTTTCGTGGGCTGTGGCTGAACTTCTGCAGAGTGGATTTGATGGGACAGCATCTTGAGCCACCTGAACCCTTGTCCAGGCAAAATCTGTATCTGTTCCAAAAGGGTGGGCAGAAGCAAGAGCCAGGGTTTGTCCCCGGAAGCAAAGGAGAGCGAGCAGCTGGCTTATGAACATTTTATGTTGTCAATTCTCATGTTTACTGTGATAATCTGAATTTTACAGACAACACCTTGCATTGACCTGGTCCTTTGCCATTATTGTTGCCTCTCTTCTCCCTCTTTTCTCAGACAGCATGTAACAGGTGGAAACTTTTTAGGTGTTGATGCAGGGTCAAGAGAGTACTGAAGTGGCTCTGAAATTACTTTTATGGGACTGTACTCCAAAACAGAAAAGCCTTGTGGAAACCAAGCCTCAGATCAGATCCATCCTTGCCCAAAGTTGTGACTTACTCCAGGGAAAGTGAGATGTTCCTCTTGTTTCTGATGAATGGCTACTTGTTTCTGCAAACAAATGTAAGGTTTAGTATGTTTCCTTTAATGAATGTACTGAGAAATTGAATCAGTACTTTTGAATCAACCACAGAAATTCCAGTAAATTGGATCTGCTTTTTTTACAGTGCTGAATCAAAATGTCAAACCAGCACAACTCAATTATAGGAGAGGAAATAAAACAACATGCTGAATATCAGCAAGTTATTTCAAATTGCCAATGCCATAACTACCTGTGGGAAATGAGAACAAACAAGGCAGAGATTCAGCTGTGGGAAAATTGGCTCAGAGCAACTTGTTTGCGAAGTTTCAGAAGTCAATTTTTCACCCCATCTGAGCTTTATAGACTGGCTGCACCCTTCAGTTATTGCTTTTGCTAAAGAGATGTTTTAGCTGCAGAGAAGTGTGGCAAAGTAAAAGAAGGATCAGTATTTGTGTGTTTGTTTTTTAAGAGGTAAAGGAAATTCTTGTTCTTTCAGTTCAATGTTGGTTTTCATTTTGTCCTTTTTAAAAAGATCCCAAAATCCTTTCTCCAGAGGAGAAAATAATGCAGCTGGGAAATTTTTCTTTGCATTTTTAAGCAGAGATGATTCCTTATTTTAATGATGTTGAGAGACATGGTGCAGTGACTTTAATGTCACATGAGATTGTGTCTGAGTGCTTCCTACAGCATAAAAAGCCAGAAATTGCAAGTGAAATATATGGATTTATTAATGATGAAGACAACAAATTCAGAATCTCTCCACCATTAACAGGTAACTCCAAGAAATA